AGGGGAGGAGGTGGAGCAGCCATAGTCACGGGCCTGTACGACATAGGGTGATGAGCATTAGCTGCCAATGTTTTAGATATAGTCTGAGAGATGAGAGACTCAATGTCGTAAGGAAGCATGACATGTGAAGGTCCCCCAGGGCGGAGCCCCGCAGCTGTGGGGGTGTAGGTTGGCTCCGGAGTAGGGCACTTAGCAGAAGGTCGGGGATGAGACAAATCCACCGGAACTGCCGTGCCATGCGAGTGGACAGTGGGAGGAATCACCACCTCCGGCATTGGAGAAGAGGTGGTCACAGGGACGTGACCCTGGCACACAGAGGGCAGGATCCCCGAATGGGGAACAGAAGGCACAATAGAATGGGCAGCTGGAATGATTGCATGTGAGGCTGACATCTGTGCCTGTCACTGAGCCAAATCAAATTGGCGTTCTAATGCCCTATGATGTCTGTCGGCATCTTTGGTGGCAGCCGACGAGGATTTGCGACTTCCCGTTGAAGGAGCTTTAACGGTTGTAGTCCTGTGCTTGACCCGCTTCTTTGCCTTTTTCTTAGCAGGGCCTGGGGAAGCTGGAGCCTCAGAAGGCCCAGGGCTGTGCTTCAGGTCAGATGAGAGGTTGCAGTCAGCCATGCTGAGGAGCATTGAAGACACGAGGAGAAACAGGTAAGCAGGTGTTTATATGTATTTATTTATTTATTTATTTATTTATTTATATAGATAGATAGATAGATAGATAGATAGATAGATAGATAGAGATATAGATATAGATATAATGGTTTTGATTTTTTTTTTTTTTACAGAGTGGGCTGCACTGGGGCAGCAACCCCACCCCCTCCAGCACCAGCTGCTGTGATCCTGTGCCAAGATAATGACAGACCTGCCAGGCAGTCACTGAGAATAGGGGCTGTAGCAATATGGGTGAAATGCCACAGAAGGTCTGTTAGGGACAGATTGGAATTGCCCAGCTAACAGCCTCTTAGCCACTGGAGGGTGCTAGAGCGGCTCATTTGGTCTGTGTAGCTGCAAACAGGCCCTCAATGCATAGTAGTGACGTTTTTTTTTTTTTTAATTTGATTTATATGCCACCCTTCTCCAGAGACTCAGGGCGGCTTACAATGCATTAAGCAATAGCCTTCATACTTTTTTGTATATTTATACAAAGTCAGCTTATTGCCCCCACAAACTGGGTCCTCATTTCACCTACCTTAGAAAGGATGGAAGGCTGAGTCAACCTTGAGCCTTGGAGAGATTCGAACCAGCAGTAAATTGCAGGCAGCTGTGTTAATAACAGGGTGCATAGACCATTGTACTATCACAGCTCCTGTGCTGGCAGTCAACGTCACAATCTGCAGCGCGCAGCCACAGCGCTGTTGAGAGGCAGATAAGGCACCGGGGGTGCTCACTGTGCAGCCACGGTGCTGTTGCCGGGCAGAATAGCGCTAGGGAGTAAACTGTGCATGCTTGGAACTGTTGCCGGGTAGATTATAGGCAGGGAGACTCACTGAGCATGCGCAGAGTTGTTGCCGGGCAGAAAAACGCCGGTTGGACAAACAGCCTCTCGCTGTAATGGCGGCCTCACAAGCGACCGAAAAAATGGCACGAAGAAAGGCAATGCCTGTTCAGCCCTCCCCACAGGCTATAGAAGGCGCATGGACACTCAAAAGTGGCCCCAGCGCATCATAGAAGCGGAGGGAAGTAGTATGCCACTGGGAGCAGGGCAGGGACTCAATAAGCAGCCGACAGGCTCCGCAGTCAAAGGAGTATGCCACTGAGAGCAGGGCAGGGACTCAATAAGCGGCTCACAGGCTCCGGAACGAAAGAGTGTGCCTCTGAGAGCAGGGCAGGGACTCCATAGCCTCACCAATTCCAGCATAAGCAGATCTCTGAGAGAAGATGCCCTAGACAAGGCAGAGCTTCTGTCAGGCAAAAGGGAGGCAAAGGGAAAGTCAGGAAGGACTTACCCTGAAATAACACTGAAGAAGGGAGAAGAGGAGAACCACCCTTGCGGATACAGTCCAGAAAATTAAGTTCAAAAAGAGTAATAGAGAATCCAAAGCGAAGATATTCAGTAGTCTAGACACCAGAGATGAAAATAAAGTCTGAACTGCTGACTGAGTGAATAAAAACTGAAGCTCAGATGAGCAAAGGGGGCGTGCCTAAAAAAATTTAAAGACACATACACTCAGTGCTGACTGCTAGACTGTTGAATAACCCTCGCTTTGGATTCTCCAAGCAGCGCGCTGGAGAACTATTTATTTGCAACTCACATTCTCAGAACTGCAGGAGAAGACAGTTAAGTGAGTTTTAATGCATTTTATGACTTTTCTTGCCCCAATTAAGTGAATCACTATAGTTGTTAAGTTAGTGACATGGTTGTTAAGTGAATCTGGCTTCACCACTTATTTTACTTGTCAGAAGGTCACATGACTCCGGGACAGTGCAACCGTCATAAATGCATACCACTTGCCAAGCATCCAAATTTTGATCATGGGGCCAGGGGGATATTGTAACAATTGTAAATGTGAAAAACTGTCATAAGAAACTTTTTTCAGTGCTGTTGCAACTTCAGTCACTAAACAAATGGCTGTAAATCAAGGAATACCCTGTATTAAAAATTAAAATTGATGCATCTACTGCCACTGTCACTTCTTATGATTTTCAATGGGATTTTAATATTATATTAATTTTCAACGAATAATTTTGTTCAAATATATCTATATATCAAATATAGATATAAATCTTTAAAATATGTAATGTTTTAAATAAATATAGCTATAGGGAAAGATATAGATCTTTAAAATAAATACCACTCCAAAAGGACTTTGAATAAACTGATATAAAATGAAAATATACAAGTTTAGAAAACACAAAATTAAACATAGTTCTAGAATCCAGAAATACCTTAGTTGACTGTTCAAGTTTATTGTACTTTTGGGTAGTCTGATCAAGATATAATAGAGGAAAATTTTGAATATTAAATTACTGTTCATTTTCTGTTGACAAGATACACCTTTCAGTTTATTTTTTTAAAAAAAATAAATTAAAAAATAAACTGAAAATGGTTTGATTTCAACAATAAAATAAACCGTAGAAGAAGCAAGTCAAAGGAACTGCTGTGTGATTTGTTCCCCCAGAAGTGTGTTAATTATTAAACTACAATAAGGTTTCTCATTACAACAAACTGAAGAACAGCTTCACATTCACCAAGGGCTGTGAAACGTATTGTGGGAACTCTAAGCTCACCGCCATCTTTTGAATTGCTGATCCCAATGCTGCATACTTTTCTGCTGATACCATTGTTTCTAGTTGTTCACTTTGATAGACAAGGACAGAGAAAAGAGGAAGGAGCGAAATAAGTTTCAAGAAAGAGAAATCTATGTTTCTCTTTGAGGCATAGAGTTGATTTCTCAGCTCTTTAAGTCTTAGCAACTGGCTACAATTGTACATACAAACTACTTCCAATTTACTATAATGGTACGCTGTTAGCTTGCCTGCCATTAAATTGTTACAACTGAGAACTTTAACAATATAGCAATCAAATTATCCTAATGTTGTGCTATATCCAAAACATTTGTAGGATTCCATGCTGCCTTAATTGTGCTTGAACTCTGTAACTATTCCTTGCAATCCTTTCCTAGAACTATCTCTGTTCTGTTGCCTAGTCCTAGCCGATGTTTACAGGATGAGAGTTCCCCCACTTCCTTTCTTGAACCATTTAGAACAGCACTCTGTGTAGTGGGGTTGGGCTGAGAGAGAGTGGTTGGCCCAACATCAGGCTTTCATGGCTAAGATGGGACTCGAACTCATGGTCTCCCCCTTTCTAGTCTGGTGCCTTAACCACTAGACAACCCATTTCTTTTGTAGAGATAAAGCATTAAGCCTATGAAGTTCCAGTTGAGTTCAAACTCTGGTTGCACACATGAAAAAGGGCAAACTGTCAACTGTGGAACCTTCTTCCACTTTTGATATCTTGGAGGAAGATACAGCTGAGTGATTAATTTTGAAGACAGTGCTAATCACACAAATGACATGACTTACATACTTGCACCAGACATCAGGATACGAAACTACAACATTTGTGTGAAGTTGTCACGACATACATGTCTGCTGCACCAAAACCATATTTTGGTTTCCTCATGCCGGGTTATTGAAAATACAGGAGCCCAAGTATTGTCTTTTCCTGGATATTGGCTATTCACTTGCTTTGAATTAACTAAAACCTAGGGGATTACAGTAATCTGGCCAATGACATACTCTTAACTTCTTGACTACTATGGAAATTGAGTCATTATCTTTCGGTACTCTAGAATATATATAAAACACAATGAACTACATACCATTTATTTCATTTCTTCTCTTTTCCTTCTCTACATGTTCCCAATTCTTCCCGTTTCTTTTTAAGTTTTTCATATATTTTAATGAATTTTAAAGCAGGTTTTTAATCATGTAATATTTGGCTTCTATTGATCATGTTTGAAATCCAAAGGCATATACAGTTTAAATACACATTCTTTGAATGTTTGGCAAATGCTGCTTTTCTAGTCTCCAAGCGTTTTTCTCTTTTGTGGCTGGTACATATCTATATTAAATATTAAACTCAATGGTCGTTGAACTAATACTCCCAGTTTAACTTTAACTGTTCCTCTTTCTGTTTATATGTATCTACTCTGAGTGCATTCCATGCCGCTGGCAAAATTACATTCCGGCATCCATCTGTACATATGTAAATTTGAATGGAACTGAGAATGGACGATCTGTTGTAACATTCCTAATTTTAAAAAACTCTTGAAGGGGAATTGAAGATATTTCCCCAGTTTAGTAGATATAACAAAATAAAAGCTCTCCTGGATCTAACCCAAAGGCTTTATTTAGTCCAGCATCCTGTCCCAATGCAGGCAGCTTCAAATGTTCAGTGGAATTATTTACTTCATCTGTATCGATCACAGTGACATTTTCTTCTTTGCCCTCAAATGCCAGGCAAAGAAGATCCAGCAAGCAACTTACCTTCAGAATAAATATACTGAGTTATGTCCTCTACTTGCAGCTCATTTTCACCTGACCTGCAACAAAAAGACTTCGTGAATACTGGCTGTTAGGAGACACATGAATTGTTGATATGATCCCCAAGACAAATAGGTATCAAATACGTATTGCACAATAGGCACTTCTGTTCTCTGCAATTTAAAATTTTCTTATTAATCAACTTTATAAAAGCATTGATAATTTTGTATTTCATGTGCTAAAGGACATCTTGGGAATACAAAATAGGACTGGTATGTACAAGTTCCTGATAATCAAAGATGTGGACAAATGTACTTAAATTTATTGCTTAAACATATTAGACCAAACACAGAATATTTATTTATATATTTCATTGGAAGATTTGAACTCAGTTGGGACTCTTTAATAGGAGTTCAGGATGTGCTTCTGAACATGTGTTGAGTACTAAAAGAATGCCAAGTAATTAGCAGCAGGTCCCATTCAAAGAACAGCTATGAATAAATAGTAATATACATTCATCATATTAATATATATGCAGGATAGCATTTCTATCTATACTATATCTCTCTTCTTTTTAAACTATGGCTTCATGAGAGAAACAGGCAAGAGGGAGAAAACAAGTACCGATAGTTTCCTAGTTTCTTAAACATAAGAGTCTTACTTTACTACCTAAAGGCTGGATGACAGACACAGTATGAAAGAAACCTTCCCCTTACCCACAAAGGTGCTTAAAAGTTTGTGAACCCATTTGAATTGTTAATATTTCTTCATCACTGTATCTCTTGCCATTAACTTTAGTGGTCCAAAGGTTCATAGATGGAAAGAGATGATGCAATCTCCAACACCCCTTCTCATCATCTGGAACACACATTCACTATTTCTATCTTGTTTGTGTTACTTGTGTGGTTGTGGCTTGGCTGGCACATTAGCAATAATTTGTTCTACAGGATAGTACTGTAATCCTTGCTCTTGTATATCCTGTTTGTAGTGTCAAGAACTATCTGCACTCTTATATGTAACTTACACTGCTGTACCCAAATTTGGTCTAGTTATTGTTGACACATATAAGCTATAAGTTATTGCTGGCACATATAAGCACATATCGTTACCAGATAAGGTTTGCTCTTCTTCCTTTAGAAATTTAGCCTCCATAGGTTGTTGGCTGAATTGGTTACTCAGCCATAGACATTTTAAAACGACCATAATTTCTGTCTGAAGAGATATTTTTCTTACTCATCTTTTTCAAGCTATAACAGGAAATGCTACCAAGCTCTTCCCTGGCCAAATCTTTCAGAATCTTCTTATCTTGTTTATCCTCATTAAAAGTTATTAAACCATCAATGTTAATTCAGGATAAAGGTTCTTTATTACTTATAAATCTCAAGTTTAGGCAGGATCAGCCTTGCTTTGTTCAAATCCTTCCTTAAGCAACATTTGGTTTAATTTCTCATTTCAGGCACTGACAACCTGCTTTAGTTCATAAAAGCTTTTCCGTAGTTTGCTCATCAGGTTCTGAAAGAATTCTGGGGGCTGTTCCATATGGATCTCTAATTCTCCCTGTAAGTCTTTAGACCCAGTTGGCCACCATCCGTGCTCCTCCTCCTGCTATGCCTAAGAGCATCCTGACTAAAGTCACTCTGTGAGTGAGATGGGAGGTATCTAAATTTGACAAATACACACACAAAAAAAAAATATGCTTCATAACAGAGGGAAAGTTCATCATAGCCCTCTTCCTAGTTTGGGATTATCCTTAGTCCAACCATCTGGCTTTGTAGTGGTATACTTCTCCATTTGGTCTTGAAGCATCACCTGCATTGATTGGCTTTGTCCTGGCAGGTATTTTTCATTTTTATTATTATCTTGCCTTTATTATTTTTATTGATAACTCAAGACAGCAAATTACATTAGATGTAATTAGTACATTAGTACATTAGACTTAGATGAGGGAATAAAAGGGGAATTTATCAAATCTGCAGATGATACCAAGCTGGCAGGAATAGCCAACACCGGCCTAGATGATAGGCTCCAGATCCAGATGGATCTTGACAGACTTGAACACTGAGCCCTAACTAACAAAATGAAACTCAATGTAGAGAAAAGTAAAGTCTTACACTTAGGTAAGAAAAAACAAAAGTACATATATAGATTGGGAGAAACCTGGCTCAATAGCAATAACTTTGAGAGGGATCTTGGGAGTCTAAATGGACAACCAATTAAACATGAGCCAACAGTGTGCAGCGGTAGCCAAAAATGCCAATGCAATCCTAAATTGCATTAACAGAGGGATTCAATCAAGATCACGTGAGGTACTAATACCACTCTATAAAGCCTTAGTAAGACCACACCTAGAGTACTGCATCCAGTTTTGGTCACACTATATAAAAGATGTTGAGACTCTAGAAAGAGTGCAGAGAAGAGCAACAAAGATGATTAGGAACTGGAGGCTAAAACATATGAAGAACGGTTGCAGGAACTGGGGATGGCTAGTCTAGTGAAGAGAAGGATCAGGGGAGACATGACAGCAGTGTTCCAATATTTGAGGGGCTACCACAGAGAGGAGGGGGTCAAGCTATTTTCCAAGGTACCTGAAGGCAAGACAAGGAATAATGGATGGAAACTGATCAAGGAGAGATTCAATAAAGCACCCTGTTATTAAGACCAGCTGCCTGCAATTACTGCAGGTTCGAATCTCGCCAGGCTCAAGGTTGACTCAGCCCCAGTTGTGGGGGCAATAAGCTGACTTTGTATAAATATACAAAAGGATGAAGGCTATTGCTTAGTGCATTGTAAGCCGCCCTGAGTCTCCGGAGAAGGGCGGCATATAAATCAAATTAAAAAAAAAAAAATCTAGAAATTTTCTGACAGTGAGAACAATCAACCCAGGGTGAAATGCTACCAGTTCACACCGGTTCAGGCAAACCGGTAGAAATAAAAGCTACTGGTTCTGGCAAACTAGTAGTAAAAAAAACATACTGGTTCGTCTGAACTGGTATTTCCAACGATCAGCTGTGCCACACAATTTATATTCGCTAGAAAGCAGGAAATCCTACTTTCTAGCAAATCTAAATGGATGGCACAGCTGTTCCCCTCCCTTGCTGTTCTACTTACCTTCTTAAGCCTCTTTTCTGCACGAAGAGCGCATTTTGTGTGCACTATGCATGCGTGCAGGGTGCATTTGGCACACAATGCACATGTGTGCACAGTGAACCAGTGGCAACCCATGGAGGATTTCACCACTGAATCAACCAATGGAACAGCTTGTCTTCAGACGTTGTGGGAGCTTCATCATTGGAAGCTTTCAAGAAGAGACTGGACTGCCATTTGTCAGAAATGGTGTAGGGCCGTGATGGCGAACCTATGGCACGCGTGCCAGAGGTGGCACGCAGCGCTTTCTCTGATGGCACATGAGCTGTCGCCCCAGTTCAGCTCCCCTGCACATGTGCATGTGCCTCCCGCTGGCCACCTGATCTTCAGATCTCTGCCACGCTTTCGCAGGGTGCAGAGGGCCGCATGTGTGGGGTGGGGTGCGTGTGTGGGGACACATGTGCATGCACAGTGGGTGGGGCACATATGGTGGAGCACATGCATGGGGCCGCATGCGGGGGTGGGGCGCATGCACGGGGGGTACGAGCATTGCATTTTGGGCATTCGGGGGCACGAATGTGCTTTGGGCACTCGGTCCAGAAAGGATTAGCCATCACTGGTGTAGGGTCTCCTGCTTGGGTGGGGGGTTGGACTAGATGACCTACAAGTTCCCTTCCAACTCTGTTATTCTATTCTATTCTGTTCTACATAATACTCCTTCCTCCTCCTATTTTCCCCACAACCACCACCTTGTAATATGGGTTGAACTGAAAGCAAGTAACTGGCTCAAAAGCACTCAGCCAGCTTTCATGCTAAGGCAGGACTAGAACTCATGGTCTCCTGGTTTCTAGACCAGTGCCTTAACCATTAGACCAAATTGGCTCTTGTTACTAAATGTTATTTATCTAGTTGCCAAATGTTATTTTTGGAAAGAGATTCCATCTCTTCACTTGCTTTCCAGTTCCCAATTTCATGAATCGAAGGTTTTTAGATAGTTCCCAAGTCTTTACCTCTTCATTTCTTTTCTCTTGGCAATAAATAAGAGTTTATCTGGGAGGAGGGGCATGACTCTTTGTTAGATATCTCTGAACTGCATCTCAGCTAGTGCTGAAACAGGCTGTAGTGCTGGTTTGAAACCACAGGCAAGGAACAATTGTGGTAGTGTTGCATACTAGTGGCTGCTAAATTCAAATTCCGAGCTGGTTTTACTTTCTCATTAAAGTACCGGTAATTCTCCAGCGAGAGGGAAAAACGTCAGTCAGGATGGGGAATTCGCCCAGTCTAGCCAATGACCGAGTCCTTCCAAAGCTAAGGCTCCGCCCCTTTTGAGGCTGCCCCAGTTCTTCGTCTCGGTCTTCGCCTGACTGGACGTGTCCCCATCTGAAAGACTGCTTTTCACCTCTAAACGATCTTAATTTCTTCAGAAAAGGACTGGAAATTACCTCGCTGTGCAGGTCGGCAAGTAATTGCGAGCGGCAGGCTCGCGCCTGTCAGCTGGAGCCGGGGGCGTTTGTTTCGGCCGATTTCTGCTGCTGCTTTTAAACGGCCGTGACCTAGCAGCTTTTTACTGAGTACTGCGGCTGCGCTTAGCCCTAGAAGTCGCGTTTAGTGCTATTTGAGCTAGCGACTGGGCAGCGCTTCGACTGTTCTTATTAAAGCCTCTGGCCATTAAAGCCTTATTTGGACCGCTTGGGCATTGGCAAGGACCTGCTGGCCATTAAGGACAGTTCTAGCCGCTTGTCAGGGATAGCTGAAATCTCTCCCGCGCGCCCTTTGTCTCTGAGCTGTGGATTTAAGCTCCGGCTGCATTTTTAAGTCTCCCAAGATGGCGGACGCCATGCGGAGCTGTCAGGGCCATTCCTCAACCACCTCAGATTCACGTCGGCGCCATCTTAGTGATCCACTGGAAGGGCCCTCTGCCTCCATTCCGCCTCCCGCCAAGAAGTCCCGATCCAAGAAAAAGAATGTTTCTCAG